TGATTGGTTGCTTCAATGACGCATTCTCTATTCCGCAGTCTTTTTCCGCACCGTATGATTTCACCCTAATACTGGGGATCGATTCTATATCTTGAAACGAGGTGAAAATTACAAAGTGAGCAAATTTACTAGAATACTGATAATTTCATTGGTCAACACCTAGTAAATTTGCTTACTTTTGTCATTTTCACGATGGCTGCGTTCAGCAGAACGTTTGTTTTGCAACTGTTGGAAGTTTCCTTCGCGCTAATTGGATCATACTTTTAGATCTAGAAGAATGGTCCTATCTCAGCAGACAATCATAAAACGGTTGCAAAACTGTTGAGTCTGCTGAACGCAGCCCTTGTTTGAAGATACAGAATCGACCTCCCTGCAGTGAGCTATACTCGAACGCGCATGCGCTAAAAAGGCGGCATACCTAACAATACTGCATTAGAGTCCCTATAGTATAGGGACTCTAGCGACATTTTGCAGTTAAGCCCATGGCACATACAAAAACGTAAGGCCGTAATACGTAAGCAGTAAAGAAATCGTAAGATTGGATTCGCTACTGGCCTTACGGTCTCTATCGTGATTGACCAATTCGCTTACTGATTATGTCTTACGGCCTTACGTTTTTGTATGTGCCATGGGCTTTACAGAAAAAAGGCCCTCACGTCCTCTCTCAGGTTTCTTTCTGCTACATGTATATGTAGGTGGTTCTATTACCTATCATGTCAATAATACAGTTTCCTGTCAGATCGAGCGTGCAATACTGTCACGTGCGGTTCTTCACGTGCATGAGAATGCGGATCACGGATCCGCAAATAGAATAGAGGTTACGAGAGGAAATGGGACAGAGCCGAAAGAAAGGGGTCATCTTCCTTTTTTTTTCTCGTCGGAGCGAACAATAATAGACTCGGTCACGGGCAAGTCTCGCGATCACTCGTAGGTCACCACGTGGGTGAAACTTCTCAATTGAGAACTCTTAAATCTGGCATTTTGTCCCACCGATTATTTTCTGTTATATCCAGAACGCGTTGCAGAATTTATATTTAATATTAACAAATGGAACTTTTATATCTCCAAAATAATATTATAAAGGGCATACACTACGCAAGGTCTTAGAAGCGAATAATAAAGATTTATTAATTTTCGATTTTTATATCTCCGACTTATTACGGAATTAATCAAGAAGTTTTATCTCGTTTTATTTTTTTAACGAAACAGTATACTTTGTTAAAGAACTTTCTCCTATTCTTGGAGAAAATCATAAGTAGCTCCTCGGAGCAGCTATTCACGTTCCTTTCTCCTGTAATACAATGAATTAATTACGAACACTGCGTGTTGTGGACAGAAAATTGCATGTGAGACAATACAGTTCTAAAACAATCTATTTAAAAGAACTCGCTAATTATAAGAGCGGAGATCCAACGTTTAGGCATGTCAGAAATTATTTAGTATTTGCGATCTTTCCGTGTTCTTTTTAAATGCCAAAATACTTAGACGGCCACGAGACATGCGTTGGTCCAGCAGGAAAAGCGAAATGTGGCGAAATGTAAGAATTCCGGGAAACTCAAGAAAATGAAAACGGAGAGGCGCGGCGGCGCGCCTCGTTATGGACCATTATGGACGCCACCGCGTTATGCCGCATAACGCGGTGGGGATAAAATCCCGAAATATCGTTCCGAGGGCGAAAAACTTGAGATGAGACACTGCACCGATCGTCACCGGCGAGCTTCGCGTCCGAGCGCGCGGAAACGAGTTCTCGGCCTCCACCTCCGTTGAGAAACACGGTAAGGACACTCTCCTCGCCGCCCCGCTTCCTTCTTTTCATTCGTCGATTTGTGCTCCGATTTGTGGTCACCTGTCAGTAGAGCAGTCAGTAGAGCAGGATGCAACGCGATTGTTTGATAGACTTTCTTTCCACTACGGTAGTCTGTAATACTCACGACTGTAATCGTACATACACGTGTACTCGTAGCTGCATCCATATATCCAAGATATATTTATAGATATATGAGACAGGACATACATATTAGATTTAGATATAGTTTGATTAAAAAAAAAGAAGTATACACTATTTGTAGAATCATAAGCTGTCATTTCATTGTTGTATCGTAAGCCTGTGTAGTTCACTTTCGTATTAGAGTGTATTTTTAGATATGACAGGTGGGTATATGTGTGTCAAACAAGATGTGATTGAGGAGAATCAAGTAGTAAATATACTAAATTAAAGTTTATGAGATTTTGCTCACAATGCAGCAATTAATTTAATTTTAAAAAAGATATTTCTATATAATAATAATAATAATAATAATAGAAAATTAGAAGTAGAAAGCTATATGTGATATTATACTGATAATAGTTTGAATAAGATTTACACTTGAATGTAAAGAGATAAGATAATTATATACATGAAAAAATAGTAATAATATTTAAAGTATACATTATTACACTAGTAATTGTAATATATACAATTACTAATAGAAATATATAGTTTTATATATATATATATTACTAGATAAATAGCAATATATATTTGAAGATATCTTTCAACATTTTTTACGAATTCAACGATACTCTAATTAATCCGACTTTGAAGTATCTAACAATATCCAATTTTGCAGGCAAGATATGACGGAAAGAGACGTTAAGTACATAGTGATACCTCTTCATCATCGGCCTGACTTGATTAAAGACTGTTGTAAGTTGCTTAATTCTGAATGGCCTCGAAGTGAAACTGCACGGTGTGTTATTTTTCTCCTTGGTTTCAAAAATTACCTAGGAAAATAGTGAGGATACATCGACAAAACTGATTTTCACATCGTTATATTGCAGAATGAAATCTCTAAGTGTGTCTTGTGACGATTTTCCCACGTGTCTAGTTCTAATTAATGGCGAGAACAAGGTTCTCGGACACTGCAAAATATCTTTGGTGGCTAGATCGAAAGTTAGCTGTTTCATAGAGTCTGGTAAGCAGAAACGATAGTAATTTGTTTCAATGCCCATTCAGCAATAGAATTAACAAGTAGAATAATTTAAAGTATATGTTAATAAGTCAAAAAAAAGTAAATCATAATAATACTACATATCTACAATATTTCAGTCGTAATCGATTATCGATGTAGATCTCAAGGATTAGGGTCTAGACTGTTGCGTGGCGTGGAGGAGTACGTCGCAAAAAGGGGCCTGAAAAATATCTACCTAAAAACGGATGGTCAGGAGGTGTTTTACTATAAGAACGGATACAAGGTGTGCGATCCGTTTAAAGCGTATGGCATTAATGATATCATAACTGCCAGTCCACCCCTCGGTAGGACCAGATTCAAAGAACGAAATGGCGATCAATCTGCCGGACAATTGCCACCGCCGCCTCCGCCACCTCCGATGCCGGCGTTTCAATTGTCAAAATTTTTCGACATGCGAATGCTGTCCCAAAAAACACATATGGTCAAGAAATTGTGATACTAGCATTATATCAAAATTTAAGAGTGCTGAAAACAACGAGAGCTTTCACAATTGAAATTATTGAGATACTTAAAGAAAAACGAATTCAATTTGATTTAAATAGAACAAAATGAGAGAATAGACAATTTAGCACATTGCAACTTAACGAAGAACTTGAACTCTTCTATTTAGGAAATCATATTCATTAGTCATGTAAATATATCATGTAAATAATTTTTTGAAACATGAAATCATTCGTTTGAAATCATTCGCGAATAAACTTGCATTTGTTTTTTCAGCTCGATGAAGCGACGCGAATGAAGTATTAGATACTTCAAATTTTAGGCCTATATTCTTGAATATATATATATGAAAATCTATAATATACATAACGTATACTATAGTATTATCGTATGCAATATTTTTCGAGAATAAAGCTTTTGTTCTTATTATAAGCTGCAAAGTAGAGTGCTGTAGACTTATTTTTTTAACTTTATATTTGTAATTCTAATTTATTTATTTGGATTTAGTTGGATGGAAGGGTCGAATTCATCGTTTTTTAGCGCAATTTCTCTCGCCCAGATTACGCCTCTACTTATTGTAAATATTCCTTCTTTGTTTGTTGTATTCTAGTGATAGAACACGATGGTGCTTAATACGCTCGATTTTTCCATCCAACACGTACAATTCGAGCCAGTTGCATAATTTATCAAACGTGATAACGATTTACATAAATATATATATTTATTTTTCCACTAGAAAAAGATACATGCATCTTATTGTTTTTACATCCCTACCATTTCTCGCATTATGACACGGTCGCAATGCCACAGATCTTTTGGTAATAATCAGGATTCTCAAGACATTCAACAAGAAACGTACCCAGGTCATGTTTAGAGATTACTCGTCCAGGCGAAGAATCGAATGTAACAGTGTACTTGGATTTTGGTGTCTCTGAAGAGAGAAACAATATTTCAAATGAGATTTCTCAAGATTATCACATGCTTCATCTCTCATTATGTAAGCATACCTGCAATATGCGGTGGCAATATCGCCACCCATTTTAAACCACTCGATTTGATCAGGTTGAACATGCGCTGATGGTCTTCAGTTATAGCTCTAAATATAGCAGGCACTGCTTCAAATTTGAGGAATAAAAATGCTGAAAATTCAAGCAATAATGAACATTAGAAGAGTATTGCATATAAAATAAAGTTGAATATTTAGAGAAGTTTCAAATAGCAAAAAGTGTCAAAAAGATATTTTCTTCATTAGCGAAATTGTATACAATAATATATTTCTATATTAGGGTCTGTTCTTTGTGATTGAACTAATATACATTCGTATTTAAAATAAGAGAGATATATATTTAAAGTATAGCAAAAGCGAGATAGAAAGTTTTTAGTGCAGTCTAGTGCAATAAAAAATAAGTCTTATAATAATTGACAGTTTTGGCAGGTATTTAACATCTTTGTTTTTACATTTTACAATACCTGATAGGCATACAGACACCAGTTCAACATTATGTGCTTTCATGGCTTCTATTATATTTTTCATGCCTTGAGACATTACGGTAGTAGGACCTTAAAATAGCATAAAATGGATAAATAGAACATATCATTATAAAACAACGAAAGAATACATTATATAAATCTATTAGAAAATATATATGTGTTATTTACTCAAATCTGTCCTGGTGCCAAGTGTTACCACAACGGCATCTCTACCAGCTACCGCATTTGCAACTTCCTTTGCATTAATAACATCTCCAACAATTAGTTCAACTTTATTTCTAAGATCCTCAGGAACCTTATCTTTGTCTCTTACAAAAGCTCTCACCTCCAGACCTAAATGATAGAGATAATCGAAACAATGTCTATATATATATATATATATATAAATAATAGTTGACTTGAATATCACAGATAAAAAAAAATTAATCCATCATGCACACATAAAATTACAAAATCATATACACAATAATTATGTCACAAGTACATTTTGACATAGGAGGAAATATTAATTATATCATTTTATGAACCCTGATTTTTAATTATAAGAAATAAATTTAATAAAATAAATCTATATAACTCACAATTATAAATTCCAAATTATTTACAATTACTACTCTTTTTATGTTGTTATCTCGAGCACACAATAACTTACACATGTCGAGTATATTTTATATTTTTACATAGGAGAGGAAATATATTAATTACATCATTTTATGTTTACACCGGCTTTTAATCATAAAAAGTAGATCTAAAATAAATCTATACAACTCATAATTATATATTCTAAATTATTTATGATTATTGATCTCTTAAATTGTCATCTCGAGTGACAGAACGAGAAACTTTTTGGCAAAACAGCTACATGTATAGGTTCGTTCTTTGTAGCTGAACTTTTTGTACTTTCCATTCTTCCTTCTTTTCTGTCAAACATCTAATTATATATATTCGCCTCGTTTTAAGTGCGAAAGGTGTAACGTGGTGCAACTGCGAAGAGCACGCGGCACATTGTTGGTTGAAAAATAAATTTTGGTTGTAAAAAAAATAATACAATGATAGCGCAGATAAACAGCAGAATTACCATTTTCTACGGCGGTTCTTAGAGAACAGAGACCGGTGTTCCCAGTGCCGCCGAATATCACGATTCGTTTCTTCATCTTGCGCTGAGCCAGCCGAGCTCGCGATGCGCGTTATCATGAGACTGCGCGATTATATCTGTTTGTGAGGATGACGCATCATTAATCTTTTTCTTGTTTTTTTAACGAGCGTCATGAAGAAAATCGACGATGCGTCGCCAGAACCGTCGAGAATACCGATTGCGCTGATAACGTGATACGTAAATAAATTTTCTCTAATGGCACTAATTCTTTTGCAATATTAGCTTATTATATAAGACATTTTAATACATGATGTGAGAAGATAAGATTGTCGACAATCTCATGTTCTTACATCATACATTAAAGTGCATTTAATAATTAATAAAGTATGTTGCAGCCTCTTTCAGAGATATGCAGTTTAGCGCGCTGCGAACAGAATTATAATCAGCGAAAATATTATTAGATGCTAAAGGAATATTTTAATGATGATGTATCTTCGTTCACAGAAGTTTGCGCTTATTATCGCGCTGAATAATAATTTATTAAAAATTTTAAGATCGTTATTTTTGTAATACCGTTTGTTTTTTCACAACGTCAGTCTAAATGCACATTTTAACAATATTGTGTATTATAACTATAATATGAATAATCATTAACGCTACCATTTTTATTGGCAAAATAAAAACTAAATGATTAGTTTACAAATTAATTGTGTGTAAATGTCTGCGTTAAATTTAAATTTTCCAATATTTTTACAGTAAAACTATATTACTTATAAAACAGATATAAAATTACGATTCTATCTTATCAATTAAATTTCGTTTAATCAGATGACATAAAAGGATTATTAGGAGGCATAGCATGCCCACCTCCATCTACAGGCAATGTCACCCCTGTCATAAAACTAGCATCGTCACTTGCTAGAAATATAATGACCTTTGCGATTTCCGAAGCATCACCGTTTCTTCCTAAAGCATGTATCCCTTTAAACTGCTCGAAAAAGGTTTTAAGTTGTTCTTGGCTCATTCCACAGTTTCGAAAGATGTTTGTTATTACAGCACCAGGATTTACGGAATTCACTCGCACCTATTTTTACATTTAAAATAATATAAGGCGAAATGATATTTAAAAATGCTATTGTTAAAAAAAAGAAATAGTCATTATTATCCTTACACGCACCTGTCGTGATGCCAATTCTAAAGCAACGCAACGCGTAAATTGGTCTAGAGCCGCCTTACTCATATAATATGTCAAAATACCTACTCCTGATCGTAATCCAGCTAAGCTAGAAACGTTTACAATGTTGCCTTTCGTCTTGATTAAATATGGTACTGCTAGTGCTGTCAATTGGAATACCGAGCGAACGTTTACGTTCATAACACTGAAAACAGATTTACGTTAAAAATACGTCTTGATATCAATGTATTTTCAAAATAGAGAATATAATTTATCAATATTAAAACATGTTTATACATACAAACAAGTTACTTATCAGTACATACTTATCGTACTGTTCTAAGCTTGTAGACTCTATACTACCAATTTCCAAAGTTCCAGCATTATTAATTAAAACATCTAATTTGCCATAGTGCTTGATCGTCGAGTCGATAATATTTTTCACATCGTTCTCGTTGGCTAGATCTCCCGTTACAATTAATGGCTTGGGTTGTCCACATTGCTTGGCTACCTTGTCTAAATTGTGCTTATTACGTCCTGTTATCGACAACGATGCACCAAGCTGAGCAAAGTGAATAGCTGTTTCAGCTCCAATTCCTGAACTAGCCCCTGTTATCAGAACAACTTTTCCCGCAAAAGACATCTAAAATAAATAACATTTTTCAGACTGGATGCATCCAGTAACGCACCGCAGCGGTGCACTATTTATAGTTATAGCAGTAAAATGTTATTGATTCTCATATAAATCCAATCAATCACATTAAATTACTACATTACGTCATATAATCTAAGATAATAATATTATAAATGTAATATTATTATTATGTAGTTAATGTGGTATTTTATATTCATATTTGCAAATATGTATAAATCAGCAAAAATATAGTTTTTTTTAAAATGAAATAAGTTTTTCGGAAGGAAAAAAAAAAGAAAAGAAGCATTTAAATTTAAGTTAAACGATTAGATACGTTTATGTAAAGGAATTGCCAAATGTGAGCCACCAGTTGTTCGTGTGTAATCCAAAATGTATATTAAAAAAATGTGATACAGACGTTTCAACGTATTGGGTTTCATGATCGGTTACATATTCATTCCTTTTTCAAGTTTGCAACAAAGACTTTAAATCTCAAAATTTTGTTAGTTGGATTGCGCGTAATAGCAATATACGTATCGATGTCCGATAATAAAACTTCCATTTTATCAATATAGTCAATTTTATCTATGGCAACAACCACATTGCTTTTGTCCGCTCGCGTTAACAATACTTGTGGATTTTCTTTAAGAAATCATTTAGTAGCATCGAAAGAGTCTAAGATCATACCATCTATGTCCGATTTATTCTCTGTGATATTTTTAATACTTCGTACGTATGGGAAAAAACTATTTCTGAATCCATTCGAGTTGATTTTTAGTCTTGTTAAATTATCCTCAATATGTTTAATAAATTCTAAAGTGATAGATTCCACATTGTGAGAAGGAAGACAAAAGTTTTCTCCTAGTTATACTAGGCATTGGACCTCCCCTGGGAAAGTTACGCTCGAAAGATTTATGAACCAATTATTGTTAAGTGTTTTGAATTCAAACTTAGTTAGTGTAAATTTTGACGGATTTAAATTGACTTCATATATATGATCATCAAGAATATCAACTGGTCTTTCGAAGCTGTATTTATTTTCAAAGAGATTATTATTATTCCCGGAAATAGCATTATTATTGAAGTGATGGTTGTTCCTGAACTGTGCAATAATATTTGATACTTTCAGTTTTATTCGAGTGGTAATTACCTTTTGATTCTAACCAATTTAGTTTATTGAGCATACGTTCTCTTCCCGCAATATGCAATCTATCTAGTAAAAAGTGTTGAGAAGAAAAGAAATCATTGTATATGTTAAACGGTAATTCTCTAATTATATTTTTAGTGCACTGATTAATACTAAATTTTAATCGCCTATATTGATAAAATAAATCCGATATTTCAAGATTGAGTAACCTGATTTCTACCTATATGATATTTGCCTGATATTTACCTATAACAGTTCTTTTTCGCTTGTAAATTAATCTTATTATTATAAAACTTTAATTTTGTTAAGCTTTTTATATGTAAATGTTGAGGTAATAATCCTCACAAACGTAAAAATTCTATTCTTATTCCTACTCTCATGCATTCTCTGTTTAAATTAATCCAAGTCTTTAATAATTTGACAATATGTACGCCAAAATTCAAATTAATAAAATTAAAAATTTAGATTTAAGGCTCGAATAGTTTCGAATTATGTAAAACAATGTGATTTATATTTAAAAAAGATACAAATACTTACTGTGATATTTGCAACGATATTGAATGATATTTCAAAACGATACAACTTAAATAATCTCAAACGACACAAAATACAATATCACGCTTGTAATATCGAAGTAACGCATTGATGATGAGCAAACGTTATAAGATAACATCATAAATTGATACTAGTTTATATACTAACATAATCCCTACTCTTCTAGCTATTTAGAAAACAGTGTAAAGTTCGTGTAGTCATAACATTTTATAGTGAATCATAAAACATGGGTCAGTATTTATAGTTGATTCTGAGATCGTCTTAATAAGCAATGATAGGTAAGATACCCTTCAAATTTATCTAGATACAGATACAGTTACATGTACAAAAATTTATCTAAATACAGATATCTAAATATAAATACACATATTAAAATGTATATAGGTACAGATATCAAATACTTTAAAAGTATCTTCGGATACATTTCAGATACTCTTAAATTAATTTTATTGTGATAATGGTAATGTGTAAAAAAAATGTATTAGTTATTAAATGAATCATTTATTCATTCATTTTTATTACATTTCGATAATTGAAAAAACTTATAGTTATCGTAAAACAATTTAGGATAAGAAGTATAAGACGATATTATTCATCATTATTCATCGTAGTTTTGTAAACTAAAAATGCTTCAAAAAATGTGTTTCCAGCTTAACTATACATGCGAAATTTCACAATCTAAGGTCACTAGCTGCGTTCAGCAGAAAAAGCAGTTATGTCCGTGGTGAAAATTTTTCTCAGAATTTTTCATATAATTTTTCAGAATTTCTATATAATTTTATAACTTTTATAACATTATATGTATTTTCATAAAACGTATGTTTTAGTGTACATGGGTACTCTAAAAATTTGGTGTTTATTTAAATTTAGTGCTCTTCCAAATTTTGCGCCATATATATGTTATAGTATTATTTTAGTGCATCACAACTTGGGAAGGCACAACACTCTAACCTCCATCTACAAGCAATGTCACCCCTGTTATAAAACTAGCATCGTCACTTGCTAGAAATGTAATGGTTTTTGCGATTTCCAAAGAATCCCCGTTTCTTCCTAAAGCATGCGTCCCTTTGCACTGCTCGTAATAGATTTTGATCTGTTCCTGGCTCATTCCAGTGTCCCGAAGGATATCTGTTTGTACGGTGCCAGGATTTACGGAATTCACACGCACCTATATCATATTTTATAAATAATATGATAAAATAATATTTATAATGCTATTGTTGAAAAAAAGAAAACAGCACCTGTCGTGATGCCAAATCTAAAGCAACGCAACTTTACTCATGCAATATGGCAGATTATTCTTCATTGGTCGTAATCCAGTTACGCTTGAAACATTTACAATGTTACCTTTCGTTTTAATTAAATGTGGTACTGCCAGTGCTGTCAATTGGAATACCGAGCGAACGTTTACGTTGAAAATACTATAAATACATTTACATAAAAAACACGTTATATCAGCATGTTTTCAAAATAAAACACAATTTATCAATTCATATATGTTTATACATACTATCAATTTATCATTACATACTTGTCTAACTTTTCCAGGTTTGAAATTTCTATAAACCAAAGAGAACAACAAATTACATAAGACAATAGTTAAAAGAAGGGCTAGTACGAGCCAGTTACAATATAAAGAATATTTAATAAACTTTTATACATACAGACGTTTCGACACCTATCAGGTCATCTTCAATGTAAACAACAAGCAATAATACATAAATTAACTGAATATTCGGTCACATAATAAAATCCAGTAAAAACGTTGGTTAATGTTCATTTGTATTGTTTTTAGTCTCTTGTAAGATTGATGATTATAGAAAGAAAGATTGTTGAAATTAGAGAATCTGTATAAATGCGGAGGTACTAAATTGAATTTAATACAAGATTTTACAAATCTTATACGTATTCTAATATTTACATTTAGTTTGATTAAATTACAAATTTTCTTCATAAAATCGCACATCTCTAAACCAAATTGAGTTCTAATGAATGCAAATGAAAAATTAAAGTTATTATAACGCATTTTCTCGCTCGCGTATATAAAATAATTATCAATATGGCTCAATCAGAATAAATCAATAGTTAAAAGAAGGACTACGAGCCAGTTATAACATAAAGAATATTTAATAAACTTTCATACATGCAGACGTTTCGACACCGATCGGGTCATCTTCAATGTAAACAACAAGCAATAATACATAAATTAACGGAATATTCGGTCACATAATAAAATCCAGTAAAAACGTCGTATATTATGTAAAAATTTTCTTGGAAGATCTCACAAGAATTTTTCTTGTACATAAAAAAATATGTATACCGTGTATTGTTTAGAAGTTTAAACAAATGACATAAGAGGACTTTTAGAAAACTTGAAGGCGTTATTTTAGGCGCTCTACACTAGAATTTACTTTCGCGCCGCAATTAGAAGGTTGCCAAGTTTCTAAAACACAAATCCGTTAATTTTTTAAGCTTGACGAGCCCACCGTAACGAACAAACAACCAAAAAATAAAAGAAAAATTTCACTAATTTTAATAATTTTATATTTTATTTTTGTATTCATCTCGATATCATGGATATATTAATAAAACATATTTAATATTTTCTTTTGTAATAATATATTTTGTAATTATTAGAAGGTAAAATTACATTTTCTGATTTTAGCTTTTGAAAATATTTCTAAAAAACGTATGTTTTAGTGTTCATGAACACTCTAAAAATTACTTGTGTATTAAAATTTTGCGTTTCTTCAAATTTTTCTCTGCGTTAGAGCGTACATTTTACTGCCTCGCAGTCTAGATTGGGGCAGGCATAACCATCCAACCTCCATCTACAGGCATTGTCACTCCTGTTATAAAACTAGCATCGTCACTTGCTAGAAATGCAATGGTTTTTGCGATTTCCGAAGGGTCGCCGTTTCTTCCGAAAGCATGCCCCCCTTTCAAACGCTCGAAAAAGGTTTTAAGTTGTTCTTGGCTCATTCCAGTGTCCCGAAGGATATTTGTTTGTACGCCGCCAGGATTTACGGAATTCACACGCACCTATATCATATTTTATAAATAATAATATGATGTGTAAAATAATATTTATAATGCTATTGTTGAAAAAAGAAAACAGCCATTATCCTTACACGCACCTGTTGTGATGCCAAATCTAAAGCAACGCAACGCGTAAATTGATCCAGAGCCGCTTTACTCATGCAATATGGCAGATTATTCTTCATTGGTCGTAATCCAGTTACGCTTGAAACATTTACAATGTTACCTTTCGTTTTAATTAAATGTGGTACTGCCAGTGCTGTCAATTGGAATACCGAGCGAACGTTTACGTTGAAAATACTATAAATACATTTACATAAAAAACACGTTATATCAGCATGTTTTCAAAATAAAACACAATTTATCAATTCATATATGTTTATACGTACTATCAATTTATCATTACATACTTGTCAAACTTTTCCAGGCTTGAAATTTCTATACTACCGAATTCTACAATTCCAGCGTTATTAACTAAAACGTCTAATTTGCCATAATGCTTGATCGTCGAGTCGATAATATTTTTCACATCATTCTCATTCGCTATATCTCCCGTTACAATGAACGGCTTGGATTGTCCACATTGTTCGGCTACTTTGTCTAAATTGTACTTATTACGTCCTGTTATCGACAGCAATGCACCAAGCTGAGCAAAGTGAATAGCTGTTTCAGCTCCAATTCCTGAACTGGCTCCTGTTATCAGAACAACTTTTCCCTTAAAAGACATCTAAAATAGACAACATTTTTTAGACTTCACTGGTCGCATTCAGTAGCATACTGATCATCAAGCAGCCATAAGTAAATTAAATCCGATCACATTAAATTGCTAAATTACGTCATATAATTTAGGACAATAACATTACGAATCTAATTATTACGTAGTTAATGGAATTATGTTTGCATTTGCAGATATAAATTAGTAAAAATATATATAGTTCTTTTTAAAGGGATTAGGTTTTTTGAAAAGAAGATAAAAAGAGATATATATATAGAATTAATGCATACCGATTATCGTTTCGAATTATGTAAAACAATGCGGTTTGCGTTTAACAAATATATAAATACTTACTGCAGTAGTTCAATTGGAGCACTAGAACGATTTTGAAGGATATCTACAGAACAATGAAACTTATAATCTCGAGCCATACAAAATGCAATATCACGTTTGTGATAGCAAAATCCATAATTCAGCGATATAATATCTAAATATACTAAATGACGATAATATGATATTGATGTTAGTTAATATTCATTTGTTCTACTCTTTTATTCCGGAACGATAACACGTTCAATTTAGTCATGACTTTATAATAGATCGTGAAACATTTCTTGTTGTAATATTTAAATCGTTTATCCTTGCATATAATTAATAATAATTATAACTCAAGCAAAAAGTCATGTTGATATCAAAATAGCTTTAATGATTGTCAAAGTTAAGTTACTATTCGATCAATTCATTTAATGTTATTTTGACATTATCGTAATCTGTTCTTCTCTTGGAAGATTTTCTCTTTTAATTATACGATATATGTAATTATCTACGACAGAGAAATTTTAGCTTTCTTTATTTTAGGAATAAATTAAGTTTTTATTTATTTTTTCTCGATATATTTCATCAAAGAAAACAAGAAATTATTATAAGATTTTTGTCATATTTCAATGGTTGTATCGGCTTTCAATAGAAAATGAAAGAAATCAATAGAAAACGATGTTTTTCTCGTAATATAAAGCGATAAATTACTATAAATATAATTTTCAAAACATTTAAAATAATTATAATGATAAATTACGATAGAACATGATAAAATTGTTTTGAAAATGATATTGCTTCTTATCGTTATTTTTATCTTTTTAACAGAGTTATATAACAGCACATTTCTATACACATTGCAATAAGATATCGTGAGATCTGTAAACTAAGTTTACGTTTACATTTGTAATCATCATTAATCAAATTTAATAATATAAGTAGGTATTGGTTGCGTTCAGAAGAGAAAACTGACGTTTTATGTCAGTGTATTATAGTTATTGACTACGTATAGGACTGC